CGGTGCCTTGCCAAAGCTGAACTTTCACTTAACGCGGCATTTTTCATCATATACGTGGTGAGTGTCGGCTCGAGAGCTATTTTTAGATTCGCACCACCCCCCACCCGCCACCCTGCCTGACTGCCTGTTTTAGCTCATAAAATTCATACAAATTACCCAGCCAGAATATAATTTACATTGCTGGAATTCTTATAATTTGGTGATCATTTTGAATATAAACAACATATATTTTGCATTAAACATACAATTTTTAGATAAAAATTGTTCTCTAGGTAATTATGTTATCTTTTGTCCAAAATATATGACATTTATATTCAAAATATTCATGGTCTTACAAGGAATCCAGCAATGTCAATTATATTATCCTAACTTTAGTTTGAGGTATTATTTATTAAAATTTAGTGGTTATCCCACACATCTCCTTGGGACGGTTGGTGGGGGGTGGGAGGTGGGGGGGAGGGAGGGAGGGACGACCGACCGACCATCTGTTACCCCGTGAAGAATTATTTTTTTTTTTATTAACTGAAGATATTTGTTTTAGCTCATAAAATTCATACAAATTACCCGGTCAGAATATAATTTACATTGCTGGAATTCTTATAATTTGGTGATCATTTTGAATATAAACAATATATATTTTGCATTAAACATACAATTTTTAGATAAAAATTGTTCTCTTGGTAATTATGTTATCTTTTGTCCAAAATATATGACATTTATATTCAAAATATTCCTGGTCTTACAAGGAATCCAGCAATGTCAATTATATTATCCTAACTTTAATCTGAGGTATTATTTAATACTAAATGTTAAAAACTCTTGAATGGAGGATTGGTGGGGGGTGGGGGGAGGGTTGGGACTGACCACGCGGTTGGAAGAGGGGGGGAAGGCAAGGTGGGGTACTTTGATTGACAGATAGTGTCGAAGAATATTTTTTTTTTTTTATTAACTGAAGATATTTGTTTTAGCTCATAAAATTCATACAAATTATCCGGCCAGAATATAATTTACATTGCTGGAATTCTTACAATTTGCTGATCATTTTGAATATAAACATCATAGATTTTGCATTAGACATACAAATTTTAGATGTAAAGTTTATTCTGAGTAAATATGTTATCTTTTGTGAAAAATATATGACATTTATATTCAAAATATTCCTGGTCTTACAAGGAATCCAGCAATGTCAATTATATTATCCTAACTTTAGTTTGAGGAATTATTTATTACTATACCTGGTTTTCCCCAAAAAATTTCTCAGAGGGAAGAGCCAGTGAGTGTAGTGTGAGAAGAGGGGGAGGGAGTTGAGTCCATTATTTGAATGGACATTAACTTGGCGACTGTATTTCTCTATTTCTCTTAAGTATTAATTGTGTGCATGTACCATCATAAAATTAAGATGTTATTTTTACTACAACATAGTTATTTGTCGTCAAAAAGTGGAGTTTGGGGGTCGGGCTGGGTTCTATTGGAATTAATCCCATATGTTCTGTTATTCACTTAACGCGGTTTTCACTTAACGCGGGACCCTCTGGGTTCAATTGACCGCGTTAAGTGGGGTACAACTGTGTGTGTATATATATATATGTATATATATATATATATATATATATATATATATATATATATATATATATATATATATATATATATATATATATATATATATATATATATATATATATATATATACAGTGACCCCTCGTTTAACGAACACCTCGGTTAACGTAATTTCGATTAACGAACTGCCTTCCATAAGGATCTTCAATTCGGTTAACGAAAAAAAATTCGCTTAACGAACTTCTTACGAACCGACCTCAACATGTTTTCGCTTGCACTGACAGGGCAACCAGCTTTAGTATCAGTCCGCCAATACATTAATCGGTTCTAGGGCTTAAATTCCTTACTATTTTTGTAAATATCAAGAAGTTTATACTATTCAATAATTTTAAAAGTTTAATATTCAATTTTTTAGTCATTTTAACAATTATTGAACAAAATTGAAGGTAAAGTGACTAGTTTAATGCGCGGCATCCAGCCTCTTAACACAGCAAACAGGCGTCAGTCTCTCTCTGTTTTCACTGGAGGTAACATCTTGCTTGAGACTCTCTTCAACTAAACGCTTTTTTTCTGTGTTTCCAAGCAAATTATTGGTCATTTTGAAATATATTTTATATATTGACAATATATAATGCAGTGCAGCGTTGATTTAAAGAAAATAATCTTGAATTAAACCAGAGAGCTAAAATTTTATGGGTGAAATGGCACCATGGGGTGACTTCTCTTCCACCCCAATGCCTTCTCTTCTTCCTTCTCCTCCACCCCCATTCTAAATCCCATCATCATCATCATCATCCAGGAGCCTTCTACATACACACCTCAAAGTAAGTGAACTTTTCTACCATTTTTGTTGAATTTAGGAAATTTTCGGTGAGCTGGAACCAATTACCCAAAAACCCATTGAAACAATGGTTTCGGTTAACGAACGACCTTCTGGAGCGTTGAGTTAGATTAACGCCGATATATATATATATATATATATATATATATATATATATATATATATATATATATATATATATATATATAGATATAGATATAGATATAGATATAGATATAGATATATATATATATATATATATATATATATATATATATATATATATATATATATATATATATATATATATATATATATATATATATATATATATATATATACACACACACACACACACAGTCATGGGCGTCTCGGGTCGCCTCATGGGTACACTCACTCAGTGGAGCGCTTAGTTGGTGTTTGGCTATCGTATCTTATACTGATCGTGCTGTGAACTTTCGTTATTATCGTATTTAATTGACTTTATAATGACTGGAAAGCATAAAAGTGAGAGTGCTGGTGGTGTTCCAAAGAAAAGGAGACAGGCAATTACTTTTGAGATGAAAATGAAGATAATAACACAGCATGGGAATGGAAAAACAGTAGCAACAATCTCACACGACCTAGGTTTCTCACACTCGACTATATCCACTATTCTGAAGGACAAGGAACGTATTCGTGATGTAGTGAAAGGAACAACACCTATAAAGGGAACTATAATATCAAAGAAAAGACAAGGTCCTATTCACAATATGGAAAAATTATTGGTGATATGGATAGAAGACCAGATACAGAAGCGTGTACCCTTAAGCCTTCTAACCATACAGGCTAAAGCAAGAAGCCTGTTCCAAAGCCTGAAGGAGCAGGCAGGAGATGAATGTGATCAAACCTTTACAGGAAGTCATGGGTGGTTTGATAGATTTAATAAACTCACAATGTTAAGGTGAGTGGAGAGGCAGCTAGTGCCGATGTTGGTGCTGCCGAAGCTCTTAAGGAGGAGTTAGATGAAGTGATTGTGGAAGGGAATTATTTTCCTGAGCAAATATTCAATGTGGATGAGACTGGATTCTTGTGGAAGCGCATGCCTGAGCGGACATACAGTTTTAAAGGAGTTAATGAAAATGAAGTTATTTCGGATATTAGTAACAAGATAGTGGAGTTATGTAAACAGTTGGAGTTAGAAATTGATAATGAAGATGTTGAACAGTTGGTTGAAAGTGTAGCAGAAGAGCTCAGTAACAAGGATCTTATTGAATTAGATGCACAGAAAATTGCAGAGGAAGAAGAGAGACAAAATGTAGAAGAAGAACCTGCACCCCCCAAAAGGTTTTCAGTGAAACATATGGCAGAGGCATTTGCTACAATTAATAAAGGAATGCAAATGTTTGATGGCATGGATCAAAATTATGAGCGTTATGCCAAAGTTGACAGAATGGTCCAAGAGTCACTTGCTTGTTACAGGGAGATTTATAATGAAAAGAAAAAGCAAACTGTGCAGTCTAAATTGGACATCTATTTCAAGAAGTCCCCCAGTGCTGTCTCCTCATGCCCCACTAGTGCTGCCTCTTTACTCCCTCAAGATGATCCAATACCTTCAACCAGCAAGTTTCCACAGCACATAAACCTGTCTGAAGAAAGCAACATTGATGACCCACCCAGCCCTGTCTCCTCTTCTGCTTCATCCAATTAATATAGTCTCCATGTATCCTGTAAATAGAAAATTATGGGGGCCCTGTGTGCATTCAGCTGACTACATTTAAGGTAAGTGCTCAGTCACACTGTATCCATTCTTCATTATTTATTGCTTTTACTGTACTGTATCCATTCCTCATTATTTATTACTTTTAGTGTGCTGTATTTCATTGTAGATTTTTTTTTTTTTTAATTGAAATTTTTTTTTTTTTTTTTTTAATCTATGTCAGACTTACGACCTGGATTTGGGTTCCAAACCCCGTCGTAAGTCGGGGAGCACCTGTATATATATGGGAATGTACTAAAGGGTTTAGCTGGGTTTGTAGGTTGATGAGGAAAATAGATAGTTGGTCATTAAATCCTATTTCGATGCTAAGCCTATAGCCAAATAGCTCTGGTTGTGCAACTCACGTTTGGCATTTAGAACAGACTGCCCCAATAACTGATCTTATAGTCTTACATTCCTCCCCTTCATGATTGTTTAAAAGGGTGAATTGGAAGCAATGGTTGTCCTCTAGAGGCAAGAAGTCTAAAATACAGTCACGTCTGCATTCCCACTAGTACACACATAATGCACTTTTAAGTGTCACAAAGCCATAAATAAAGAGTGATTAGCACAAATTGTGGCTGAGTAGAGATGCACAGGGATAATCTATTGATGAAATGAGTGTGCACACAGGATTACAGGTAGATGTGTAGGAATGTGAATGTGAGGCATACTGGCAGGCAGAAACTCTGTATCACATGGGTCAGGTCTTGTTTCAAGTGTTAATCCATTTTATGATCAGAACCAACAGTAACACAAGAAAAGAAGCCTGAAGTGAAAATCAGAAATGTGCTGCAGTATTTACCATTTATCAAATATTTGTACTCTACAATTTAACTGTTTTTTGACATTTGTCCTTTGGTTGAATATTGTTCATTATCTTAATTTTTTTTATGGTGATTGTCTTAATAATAAAGAGAAAACATGAGTCAATATGATTTTTTCAGGTGCCTTATATGTGGAAAACTGCTCTGTAGAACGTATAGTGACAGATGAAGTACCACACTCACAGATTGTCCCAAGAGTCACATATATTGAAACCTCCCAGGGTACCATCCATTGTGAATATTTTGTCAACACTTCTGGAATGGTAAGTTATATTACGTTATAGTACAGTGCATACAAATTACAGTGACATCCCCATTAACTGGAACAATTAGTGCAGAGCAATTCCGGGAATGAGATATTCCCGGGTACCGAGATGACTCTCAAAGCCGGAAAAAATCCCTCGACCCCGGAATTTCCCGGAATTCTCCGGGTAACGGAAAAATTTTCTCGGAAGTTACAGAAAATGCGCCTGATTTTCATCTCTTAAACCTGGAAAAAACTCATCCATCCCCGGAATTTTCCGGGTACAGTAGGGTCAGGATATATAACGACTTTATATAAAAAAAAAATTTATATCATGGGCTACCAAAATTATCGACATTTTCTTATATATAGCGATATTTTATTTTATTTCAGGCGCCGTGAACAGAGTCTAGGACTGCTTTTAGTATCCTGGTGGTCCAGCGGTTAGCGTTCCCCGGTCACAGTCATGGGCTCGTGGGCCGTGGGTTCGAATCCTGGCGGGTTGAGGTGTTGATGTAGAAGTCCGCCTGTTTATTGGGCTAATGAAATATATATACTGTATATATATATATATACAGTATTACCCCGCTTTACATGGTTTCACTTTCCGCGATTTCTCATTTACGCGGTACCTTGCCAGAACCGGACTTTCACTTTCCGCGGTGCATCTAGGGTACTCATATACGCGTGAAGTATAATTTTTTTTTTTTTAATTTAGTTCATAAAATTCATACAAATTACCCGGCCAGAATATAATTTACATTGCTGGAATTCTTACAATATGATGATCATTTTGAATATAAACATCATGGATTTTGCATTAGACATACAAATTTTAGATCTAATGTACTAATTTGGTTTACACAAAGCAAGTATTTTATCTTTTGTGCAAAATATATGAAGTTTACATTCAAAATATTCCCTGACCTGCAAGGAATCCAGAAATGTCAATTATATTATCCTAACTTAGTCTGAGTTATTATTTATTACTAAAAATGTAAATTACTATTTTCTCCCAAAGCTTCTCTGGTAGGGAGGGAAGGTGGGGGGTGGGGGGAGGGAGGGAGGGACCGACCCAGCTAGGGCCGAGTATTTTGATTGACAGATAGTGTCCTTGAAGAATATTTCTTTGTTTATTTAATGAAGATATATGTTTTAGCTCATAAAATTCATACAAATTACCCAGCCAGAATATAATTTACATTGCTGGAATTCTTACAATATGATGATCATTTTGAATATAAACATCATGGATTTTGCTTTAGACATACAAATTTTAGATCTAATGTAATAATTTGGTTTACACAAAGCAAATATTTTATCTTTTGTGCAAAATATATGACGTTTACATTCAAAATATTCCCTGACCTGCAAGGAATCCAGAAATGTCAATTATATTACCCTAACTTTAGTCTGAGGTATTATTTATTACTAAAAGTTAAAAATCTAGTTTTTTCACCCAACATTTCTCTGGTAGGGAGGGAAGGTGGAGGGTGGGGGGTAGGGTTGGGACCGACCGACCGACCATCTGGCTCGGTTGGAAGAGGGGGGAGGCAAGTTGGGGTACTTTGATTGACAGATAGTGTCGTGAAGAATATTTTTTTTTTTTATTAACTGAAGATATTTGTTTTAGCTCATAAAATTCATACAAATTACTGGACCAGAATATAATTTACATTGATGGAATTCTTACAATATGATGATCATTTTGAATATTATATTCTCCTAACTTTAGTCTGTGATATTATATAAGATAAAACCTTTTAGCCTAAAACCACTAAACCCTGGCTGGCAAGATGGGGGGGTGGGGGGGGGCGGGTGAGGTGATATGTTTGACAGTTGATGCCAAGGTCTAGTGCTTATATATTTATCTGTCCTTAAGAGTGACTAAGTTTTTCTCTTTTAAAATGTCACTGAACTGACATGGGAGAATATAATTAACATTGCTGGGATTCTTGTAAGATAGTGATTAGTTTGAATATGAAACATGCTATAGTTTGCAATACACATACAAATTCTAGCATTAGTACATTTTAGTACAAATGACTAAATTTTTTATCTCTTGTGCAAAATATATGATGTCTTTATTCAAATTATTCACTGTCTTGCAAGGGTTGCAGCAATGCAATTTATATTCTGCTAACTTTAGACTGTGCCATTTTATGTCAAGTTTAGTCACTTTTTTTGGCCTCCCGAACCTAACCCCATTTTCCCCATTGATTACCTGTATTTATATATTGCAATTTAGTATAAAGTGATCCCTCAGTTAACGAACGCCTCGGTTAACGAAATTTCGGTTAGCAATTACCTTCCATAGGATTCTTCACTTTGGTTAAAGAAAAAATTTTGGTTTATGAATTCCTTACGAATTTTTCCCAACATATTTTCGCTTGCATTTGGCTGCTCACCAGCTGTAGTATTAGTCCGCCAATACAGTAAGCAGTTCTAGGGCTTAAATTCGTTACCATTTTAGTAAATATCAAGAAGGTTGTACTATTCAATCATTTTAAAAGTTTTATTTTAAATTTTTTAGCCATTTTAACAATTATTGAACATAACTGAAGTACAGGAAACTAGTTTTTTGCGCGCCAAACGGCCACTCAACACACCAAGCTTGGCATCAGTTTGTTTATCGGTTCAGAGGAAGGAACATCTTGTTTGAGACTCTTCAACATAAACGCTTTTCTTCTGTTTCCAGTCAAATTATTGGTCATTCTGAAATTTATTTTACATATTGACAATATATAATGCAGTGCAGTGTTGATTTAAAGAAAATAATCTGGAATTACACCAAGTGAACTAATATTTTATGGGTGAAATGGCGGCATGGGGCGACTTCTCTTCCACCCCAATGCCTTCTCCTCTCCCTTCTCCTCCACCCCCACTTCCTTCTCTTTTCCCTTCTCCACCTCCCACTTCAAATTGACATCAGCATCATCATCCAGGAGCCTTCTACATACACACCTCAAAGTAAGTGTACTTTACTGCATTTTTTATTTTTACTTAAGGTAATTTTCGGTGAGCTGGAACCAATTAACCAAAAACCCATTGAAACAATGGTTTCAGTTAACGAACCTTCTGGAACGAATTGTGTTCGTTAACCGAGGGACTACTGTATAGTGAACATCCTTACATAAGAAAATAAGAACATAAGAAAATAAGGAGTCTGCAATAGGCCGGTTGGCCTGTGCATGGCAGCTCCTGTCGAGAGTTACTACCACTCTCTATTATCCATGAATCTATCTAGCCTCCTTTTGAAACTTTCCAGAGTTCCAGCACTTACTACAAAGTTGCTAAGCTTGTTCCACTTGTCCACCACCCTATTTGTGAACCAGTTTCTTCCTATCTCCCTTCGAAACCTAAACTTATCCAACTTAAATCCGTTGCTCCGAGTCCTATCCTGCTCGGATATTATAAGAACTTTATCTATATCCCCTTTATTGATTCCTTTCACCCACTTAAATACTTCTATCATATCTCCCCACACTTTTCGTCTTTCTAGGGAATGCAAGTTAAGTTTCTTTAACCTATCCTGATGTGGAAGGTTTCTAAGTCCCGGAATTATTTTCGTCATTCTTCGCTGCACCGACTCTAGTGAATTGATATCCATTCTATAATAAGGGCACCAGAACTGAACCGCATAATCGAGGTGGGGCCTGACTAGCGCAAGATATAGTTGCAATAAGACCTGTGCACTCTTATTGCTTACGCTTCTAGATATAAAACCCAATACTCTGTTTACCTTATTTCGAACATTAACGCACTGTTTTCTAGGCCGTAGGTCTGGGCTTACAAGTACCCCTAGGTCTCTTTCACAAGTCGACTTCTCTAGGTTGATGTTGTTTAGGCTTTATACATTGTCAGTATTTGTTCTTCCAATATTAAGTACTCTGCACTTGCTGGTGTTGAATTTCATTTGCCATTTTTCAGACCACCCCTGCAGTTTATTTAGACCTCCTGTAATGCATTTGCATCCTGCCCTGAATTAATCTGCCGCCCTATTTTGGTGTCATCCGCAAACTTGCTTTTGTCCTTGGACCCTATCTCGAGATATATCCCGACCCTACTGTATCGAGAAAATTTTCCGGAAAATTCTGGCTTTGGGAATGATTTTCTGAGAAAATTTGAATTCCGGCTATCAGAGAGTTTCGGGTTTGAGGGATTCCTGCTAACAGAGATATTACGGTATATACATTGTTTTGATGCGCAGTATATTGGATATTTCCTCTCTTTTTTTTGGCAGTAAGATTTATGCCACCTGATCAGTCAATCAATGTTGATTAAGTTCAATGTCCTAAACCTCATTTGTGTATTGACTTCCATTGAATAAAAAAAATGGGTGTACATCATGCATATGGTGAAGGTGTGGATTTGGTCTACCAGGGAATTTCATTATCTTTTTTTATAGTAGGAAAAGTGTCAGTGTGTAGGCATTAGAACTGGGGGATGGACCTTTTTGTTTTGTAATTTACTGGGTATTTAGTATAGTATACAACAGAATACACTGTACTTGTACAGTACAGTAGGAGAGATACAAAAAATACAATCCATAATGTAAAATAGTTGTGAATTGTTATCCCTGAGTTATCTTTTTTGCAATACAGTACACCTTTTCACATATACGTTGAGACATTGTTATATACCTATTTGACATATTTCATAACCGAATGACAGAACACATATCGAATGACATTCTAAAATAACTGTTCTTTCATGCTAACAGAAATGATTGACAAAGGTTATGAAATATGTCAAATAGGTATATAACAATGTCTCAACGTATATGTGAAAAGGTGTAATTCTAACAAATATAATGTAACGTTACATTAGTTAGGTTACATTAGGTTATAACCTAACAAAACTCGATTGAAACATTGATTTAACTATTTTACTTAGAGAATTTAATTGTTTCGTGAATTGCCAGATTATGCAGTTTGTCTGTAGCATATACGGAATTAATCAATGAATTATTGACATCAAAGAGTATTATATTTATGTAACCTTTGTACATGGTTATATCCTCACAGTGGGCTCGCAAGTTGGGAGAAAAGAGTTCACCAAAAGTCCGCATTCCAGTTTTTCCAGCTGAGCACTTCTATTTGCATACAAAGTAAGAAACATCAGAATTTTGTGAATATTTCTGAATGAATGTCATTAGTTTATGAATGCTTCTATCATTGTACATTGAAACCTCGCTAATTTTGATGTTATGTATATCTACCCAAAAATATGAGTTGAAAAAACAACATAACTTGCCACAAGCTTGGCCCAGTATTATGGTGGTTACGGTAATGAGTTTAACCTGGCTACAATGCCTTGATTGATTAATATACTTTGATTATAACAGTAAACACTAAAAATAACAGTAAATCCAGTGAAATATGGCAGGGAGGGAGGAGAATTAAAAGAGCAGACAACGCTCTAACTAGTGATCACTCACTTAGTCCTATTGCCAGGCATACCATTAAAATAGGTATAGGAGAAATACATATCTTGTTGTCTAATTTGAAAGTGGTGATGGGCACAGTGATAAACAAATTATGTAAACCATGCATTTACCCACAATAATATAATAAGAAACAGTGTATCATTACTGGAGCGAATGAAATAATATTCCCCAAAACAACAAATGATAATTCTTGGTCACCTGTGTCCCGCTTGCTGACGCCTTGGTCCCTTGAAATTTTGCGGACATGTCATCTGAG